ACAAACAACTGCTTCACGATCCGGCTATGCACGGCACCGTGAAAATTACAACAGCCAACCTAACCCGCATACAATAAGAGTTGGAAAGAAGAGGGAAAGATGGGAGTCTCCCAATCGCCAACCCTATGCGTGGAATCTTAGCGCGATACGATACGTAACGAGATCTACTTTCGGGAAGGAGCAAGGATCCAAGATGATGTCCAACAAACAGAAAGGGCATTGACGGAGGTATCATGGATTGATTCGAGCAAACGGATATCAGATTCTCAAACCCCCGGAGCAAAACACGCAGACGGCGACATCGTGACATTTCAGGTACAGTCAGTGCGGTTATGTTCGAACGCGGGTAGCGCGACTTTGAGGGGTTTCTGTTCCAGACTCCTCCATCACGGACAAGAAGTGGTGTGCAGGATGGGGACCGAAATGGTAAGGTGCGTTTTCTTCTCCCCCCGAAATTTCTTGATTGCACGAGGAAGCCGCGAAAGTATCGGCACTTTCATCTTTGATACCCTTCCGCTATGCACCACATGATACGGAACTGCACCCTTAAACACGCCACAAACAGAGGATGGTGATCCTGTGCCGGTAGGGCGCGGAGATCAAAACGGACTGATCTCAGTAGAGCTGAGGGTTAGGACTAGGGTTGAGCATGGGATTGTTGGTCGGTTGGTCATGAGCGATGTGACACAAGGCGAGGAGGGGAACCTTTTCTCGTGATTGACCGAAATGTTTGGCATTGAGGGGGAAAGTTTTGTGAATAGGGCTTTGTGCCAATCCTATTGACCCTGGTGAGTTGTGTCTTTGATTTGATTTTTAAAAAAATAAAAAATAAAAACCGCAGTCGTATCTGACGGCGAGTGCTCCTCTTGAGGTGCTAAGTACAAGTCGCCGTTGGAGATGAATCGCTTACGGAATTCGGTCCTCCAATAGATGTCCGAATACCGGTACACCCACCTCATATCAGCCCCGTATCGCCACCATGCGAGCATCATACTTTTGCACGTTCTCCCCAGTCCCACAGTTCAAGCTCGTGACCGAAATAAGCTCACCGCCCATCACTCGCAAACCTCAATCCTTTCCCTCCTCCTCACTCCTCCACCACCAACCAAAAACCTTTCTTTCCTCACCAAAAAAAGCAGACCGAATCCTCAGTCACCTCAAACCCTCCATAGCCGTAAACGCGGCCACACGCCGTATGCATGGTTCCCCAAGTCCCCCAAGCGGAAGCAACACCCACCGCAGAGTAAAATCGCGATGGAAAAAGTTATCCCCACGAGTCGACATGCCCCATCTCCAGCTTCAGCACGGGGCGCAGGCAGAAAAACTCAATCTAGTCTACCGCAGGCAGACAAAATCCCCGCTGTAAGCTAACCGCCGTTAGCCCTTTCCCCCCCCCCCCCCTCTCTGCAATACGTCACCGAAATATGATAGGGCCATGGCACAGTACGAGAAAATTTACCCCGCGCCATCGGCCGAGGTTTCGAATGTACTTGTAAAGTGTTGGATTGGTTGGTGGACGATGCCCCTCCTTCGAGTTAGTCACTGTGCTTAGTGGGCCATATAAGTTAGCCTCGAAATTATGGATGGGTTGGTGGAGAGGATCGGAAAGATCCTGGACTGTAGGTCAGGGAGGGCGCCGGATGCTCTTGATCAACGATGCATAGATGCATAGAAGGGAGAAGGAGAAGAGGAAAAAGAAAAAGAAAAAAAATCACTTTGGTGTGGTGGTGGTGTACTGGCGCTGGTGGTGATGGGTTGTTTTGTTGGTCCTGTTTGTTGTTGTGAGAGTTGACTCGTGTTTTTCCATTCTCATTACCAGAATAGTTCACGGCACCGGAAATTCAATAGCGCTCGTCCGCGACCGCAAAAAGTTGGACAGTTGGATCAGGTCTGTCGAGGGTGGAGAGCGAGCTAGGACTAATAAATCACTTTTGGTGCAGAAACAGCCCGCAGCGCGAACACCGCCCTAGATTCGCGAGGTGCAAGGTGCTATGTACTGGTACGAGTCTCTCTACTGGACTTGAGTTACATACGGTAACTCAGCATGGCACAATAATATGATACCATAACAAAAAAAAAACAAGTGAATCCCTACCTCAAATCCTAATTAATTAAACCCCTCGCACCATACAACGCCCTAGACTTCCTCCTCTTCCCACCCCGGTCAGAAAAACCTCACTTTGGTCACATCATGGCATAGCATATCATCAAAGAGAGAAGGAACTCTCGTGCCCCTCTCCTCCCCTCTCGCCTCGCCCCCCGTCCAAAATTACGCGCCCGCCCCGCCCTGCCCCGCCCCGCCCCATCTTTTCCATCGCTCCAATAAACCCCAATACAACCGCCCCAGACCAGCCCTTCACCGACTAAACATCCCCGAAGATTCACACCTATTCGTTCCCTCCTCCTCCTCCTCCTCCTCCTCCTCCTCCACCTCCTCCTCAGTGCGAAAGACAAGATAAGACAAGACGGGCAGAAATAAAAAATAAAAAAGAGACACCGACCGACCGAGAGACATGTAGAAATGCCAGCACGTGAGGCACCGAAAGTAGGCAGAAGGGCAGAAAAGAAAAGAAAAAGAGCAAGACCGTATATTGTACGAGTTGTAGTACCGGTATGATACAAGCGTGTCGAGATCGCGCTGAACACAAATGTTTTATCCGGCGAGGTTTCGCATGTACGATAAATGCACCAAGCAAGGAAGCAAGAAGACTACAGCACCGTAGCAAGGAAGGGAGGGGGAGGATGTGATCATCGACCGCCCAGACCAACCACCCAACCAAACAAACGAGCGAGCGAGAGAGTCGTCAGGACACACGGGCACAAAATATCGTATGAATCTTATCATACAAAACAAAAAACAAACAGTAAACAAATACCGAGTGACACCCCATGACTACTCACGAGTGGAATTTACCCCCCCCTTTCCCCCACATATAGTTATTACCGGTATGTAGTCCAAGTATGATGTCAGCGGATCACGATTCAATAGTAGCGACTTGACCGACTGCCGACCGACCGACAGACCGACCGACCGACCGACGGAGACCTACGAAGAAAAAAGTAAAAAAGTAAAATAAAAAAAAACCCAAATCACAAGCAATCCATCCATTCAATCATCCAATCATCCCACGATACTTAACTTAACCCCCCCGTAACAACCCGGAACCACAGGCCACAAAGCGAGGCAACGCAGAGCAAAATAAACAAACCACGGTATGGTACGGTACGGTATACGGTAGTACCCCACCCGGCGCGCTCCGGAACGGAGAACTCAAACACCACGATACGATACGATACGATACGATACGATTCCTCCGCCATCGTTGTCAATACATATAAATAAAATCCAAAAAAATGTTTCTCCGAGCGGAGTACGGTACTGTACTTAGCTGCCGACGGTACTTTTTTTTTTTTCCCCCTTTTTTTTCTCTTTCTCTCTCCCACGCGTTCGTTGCTAAAGCCAAGTTCAGCCAATTTATCTACAATACCTATCGATGATATCGCCGATTTACCAAGAACCTGAATACCGGGTCGTGGTGAATTTGTCGAGTTCTTTTGCGGATTGATTGATGGGTGGATGGATGGGTGCAGTAGTTAATTTACCGGTACCGGCCGGAGGAGGACGACCGGGGAGAAGGGCTACTATTACTACCCACTTACTTACTTATTACTAGCACTGTACTCGAGTACCGTACTTGTACTGTTACCGTGTACTAGTAAATTTACGCGTGATATCGTACCGGTTTTATCGGGAGAAATTTCCCGTTGCTGTGCTGTGCTGCTTTTGGAAGCGGGGTGGTGGTTGTCTGTCGTATGGGGGTTTCCGGATGTGGGTGTTGATCGATTGGGATTTTGATATACATATCTATATACCGTGTCTATTATGTGTTTCGTTGCTGGATCGTGAAACTTTATTGTGATTCACCGCGGCACAAGGTACGGTGCTGCACGGTATGATATAATGATACTGGTGTCTGAAATCTACATCCACTTGCGTTTGTAAAGTATGATACCCGAGTATGGTGCATGTACGAGTCTACATCTCCGGCCTGAAGTGAGGACTTTCTGATCCACCGCTCTGTTCGAGATAAAAGGGCCTCCGGGAATGGTTGATTGATTCGCTTCCCCGAGGATAGGTCTGAGCTTGGGAGTGAGTGTTTGAGGAGGAATCTTGTCAAATTTGTGGGGGTCAAGCCCATCCTGAACCGGAGCGGTGATAGCGTATCATTTGATTGTCTGATATTGTACAGTACTGTACCTGGAGGGGCAGCTGTGGGGAAGCTGTGTAACCCCCCCCCCCTGGCCACAGAGTGGCTTGCGTGCAAACATCGAATGCATCGTGATCACAGGGATATTTTTTCCATCTCTGTCATGCCACGAGCATTGGACTTGTACCACAGCCAGGGTTAAAATCGGTCCGCGGTTGTTGCTTTCCTTGTGGAGGGTCCCTCATACCCGCTGATATTTGGTATGATAGAGCCAACATACATACCGGTACCTTCTCTCCACCATTCATCCATTCATCCATCCACGGGGTGAGGCAGTGTACCCGCCCAGCATCAACACCTAGCACAACCCCAATCACGGGATATCATTCACCAGTTCACCCATTCATTCAACTAGAACCGCGGGGCCCGGAGGTCCGTAGTGTTTTCTGTTTAATTAGTGAATAAATTAGTACCGCTCACCGATGTGCACGTGCCGCCTTTACCGTATCTTCCTTGAATGGATGCTGAGTTGAACCCCACCGGGGGCTGTGCCGGGGGATGGATCTGGTATGGGTCTTCGGGCGCCCCCACAATGTTTCCGTGGGCCATGTTTGTGGGATGGACTCGCTAAGGTCGTAAAATGGCTTTCACAGTGCTGTGCTGGGTCCCCCCACCCGACCTCCCCCCGTGTGCTGGGAAGGAAGGGGGGGTCTTCCCTCCCCACACTAAAAAGGGCCCGCACGGAGACATCTCACTTGCTCGTACTTGCACCTCATCGCCACCCTGGCCTTGGTGGATTGGATTGGATCGTAATTCTAATCATGGAATATACGGTACAGTGCGGTACTGTACGAGTACGGTGCTCGTATCACACTGTGCATCTCTAATTTACGCTCCCAGCTTCACCAACCCCTTCTCCTGCAGATAGTCGACAATGATCTTGACCGCCTCCTCAACAGATACCTTATCCGTCTGCACTCTGATCTCAGGGTACTCGGGTGCCTCGTAGGGGGCAGAAATTCCCGTGAAATCCTTGATCTCCCCGGCCCTGGCCTTCTTGTAGAGGCCCTTGGGATCGCGCTGCTCGGCCACCGACACCGGTATGTCGACGTGTACCTCGATGAAGGGTATTTCAGAGTGTAGCTCCCGTGCTGCGATTCGGTCCTCTATGTACGGTGAGATAAAGGATGTTATTGCTATTGTAGAGGAGTCTGCGAATAGCTTCGATACCTGAGGAAAAGGAAACAGTGAAGGAGAGAAAGGTCTTATTAGCTCATGCTAAACCAACCGTCGTGGGGGCAATCTCCCCATTCGTCCACAGGGTCGGAGGAGAGGGCACCTCAGCTATTCTCCTGATATTCTCGTTCCGGTCCCCTTCTGAGAATCCCAGGTCTTTGTTCAGACCGAAACGAACGTTGTCGCCTGTTTTTTATTTTATTTTTATTTTCAGGTCAGTTCCATAGTGAATGATTCACGGGCCATTCCGACTATATTTTTCTGCCTAGATGCCTGTTTTTTCTTTTCTCATTGCAAGGTGTCTATTGGGGGTCGAGAGGAAAAAAGCAAGTTTGTTCATAACCGCCGTTCACCGCACAGGATCACGATAACAAACGGTGAGAGGGGAGAAAGGAAAGAGACACTTGAGAAATATGAAATAGGGGCACAGGGTCGGGAAAAAAGGGTGAGAGAGAAAGGAGAAACGAAACGAAACAAGAAGCAGGGGCCACTGACCATCAAGTCTGTACGCGGAAATATTGTTATGGAGCAGGTGCTGTTCCAGAGCAGTCGCGATCGTGCTCTTTCCGGATGCGCTTAGACCCGTAAGCCAGATTGTGAATCCCTTCTGACCGCGAAGGGATTCGCGTTCGGTGCGGGTGAGGCCCGGATGCCAGGTTATGTTCCTATCGATCCCACCCGAAAAGGTTAACTACCCTCGCTATCAAAGATACCGCCGCCGGTAGCCCCAAATCCCGTATTTCCGCGGGGGTTTGGTGGCATGAGATGGCATAAAATAGAACAGAAAGGGAGTATCGAGAGACGGGGGGGGGGAGTGGCAAGAAAAAGGGGAGAAGTAACTGATACTCACGTTGACATTGATTGGGGTCCGTCTGATAGAGGAGTCCTAAAAAAGGAGGGATTGGGATAGATAGAGGAAGCAGACAGAGAGTGTCCCTTCCTTCGTTCGTTTCCCCAGAAAGCGGAGGGGGCGGGGAGCGAGAAACAATTTTATCTTTTCACTCGCAAAAGCTCCAGTGCAATGACGTGATTTTGGACCCTGGACGGTAAATCCACTCCTAACAATGGAATTGTTTCCACATCAACCTTGAAGTAGGGCCTGCTACCGTCCGTGCCGGATTTTTCTTCTTCACCTCCCATCTCTGCAGCCCTATCATAATTCTTCATATGCAGATCACGTGCACTTAACTACCGAACCCTCGAGCTCCCGTTCGTTACATTCCGCCCAATTCGATTGCCGTACTTGCACCGGTACTCGTGCCCCGGCGGTGAAGGGGGAATGTCTTTCTGATACGTAGGGGATTCACAAAGTACCGTACGCTCGCGCTATGGACGAGGGGAGGAAAAGCAAAAGAAGGCAAGGAAGGGAAGCGAATCCTTTCAGTGGGAAAAGCGAAAAGGGAAGAGCTGTCAAATGGAGTAAGAGCCTTTTTTTTTTTTCGTTTTTTTTTTCACTCCTGCTTGCAGGATTTGGGGTGGAACTGGGGTTATCCTGGGGAGATGTAAGGGAACGAATGGGCGATGGATCGTGTTCGAGCTCCCCGAGGCTCGTGAAGCGCAGGAGGCTGGAGTTTCCGTGGTTAGAATGGTGCTATTCGATGTGTGACAGCCGCTGCCCGTGAAGGTGGTGGTGATACACAAGTGTTGTGCGCGAGAAAGCTAGCCACAACATGACCACTGCAGCATACAGCACCGTACTCGAGCAGTAGAAGGGAAGCCAGCGAGAGTAATGCGGGATACCGTTATCGTAGCCCGGATGGCTCTCACCCGGTCTATCAAAGCGGTCGGAAGACAGGTGGAGGCTTCAGCTCCAGCCTCAGCTCTCCTCCCCAGCTACCCCAGAGAGTGGGGGGATAATACTGTAGTAGGAACACGATGCCGGTAGTCCATCTTGGGTTACGGCATCGTGTTCTTCCGGTGACATGGAATTTCCAAGTGCAGCACGATATTCCTGTGTATGCTTTGATCTGCAAATTCAATTTATCGGTGATCTGGACGAGATTATGTCCTCTTGTATGGGATTCGCCCCAGATTCTGGTTCTGGTTATGGCACTGCAGAGCTGGCATCGCATTGCAGGAACCTTAGACAACCCCGGCACTACGAGTACAGAATACGGTCGTCGTCTCGGGCACCCTGCTTTCGGGTAATGCGCAACAAGTGCATTGAATCAACCACAGTACTGTGCTCCAGTCCAGCAACAGATTCCTGATGGTTGTCTCCTTTTCTCGTCTTTTTTTTGTCCATTCCTTCTACTAGCACGGCACTCCGCCGTACGGTGGTGTGAGTGGCAATCCCGCCTCTTGTGTTTTTCGTTCCCGCTGTCTATGAAATGTAGGCGGGGAGGGGTGGATTCGGGTGTTAGATGATGATGTTTCGTCGATAGCCGAGGGATATCGAGATTCCGGGACTCCTTCACTTCTTCTTCGGCTAGTTGGACGTGAGGAGCATAGAAGCGGGCAGTGGGGAGCGAAGCGACGAATAGTTGGCATCTTACTAAAGTAGCGGTAGCGGTATACAAGTACTGTAGACTGGTGCATGCTCGTACGGGATGTGTACGGTAAGTGTAGGTACTCGTACATCCTTATACTGGGTGTGATAATAATAATAATAGTAATAACACTTGTAATAATGGTTAAGAGAACAATAACCAGTGAACTGTAACGTTATACCCACGCAGACACCGCATGGTATGTGTGGATTCGCTGTCCGGCTTGGATCTGGAAGCAGCAGTGGCGGTCGGAGGCTTCCCTCTTCACATCCCCATTTCTGTGTCCATCCATCGCCCATATGTCTCCGGGTCAGAGAGGGGGGAGAAGCCAGTCAGCGTGTCCTTACGCCTCTTTGGCCCGCTGGCGAGTATGATACCTCTATTCTCCACCCCCCACACGAGGGACTGATGAGCTGGGACACAACTCACGCATCCTACGGTACTGTAAATACCGGTACCACTGCCCTCTCCTCCTGAGCCCACAACGAGAGTGAGGGAGGAGGAGACTCACAACACAACTCACACACACATAATATTCACCACACTCCCACACACACACTCCCACACAACACACACTCACACTCACACACAATCTCGCACCCTCTCACGTTTCCCCCCCCGTCTCTTTTTTTTTTAAGGAAAAAAACAACAAACTTCGGTACATAAACATCAACTCACCCCTCGTCCTTTAAATTTCTACCACTACTCCTCATCGAATATCAACTCTCCACTCTTCATATATAATCTTTGGTATTTCTCACCCTCATCCTCTGACGAGAAGAAGAAAGGGGAAAGGGAGAGAGAGTTGAATTAAAAGGTTCCCGCGAATACCCCACCATACGCACAATCTTTTTCTCCCACTACTCCTCCTTTTCATTCTTCCCCCCTCCCCCCTCCCCCCACCTTAAATAAAGGATAGAGGAACCTTTTTTTTTTTTCCTTCTCTTCCTCACTGTCTACCTGGTTCCTCTTTGCTTTATTTGCCGGAGAGAAAATCGTCATATTCTCCTTCTACCCTTTTTGGTGGTCTGCAAAAACTAGCATATTAATTCCTCAATGCCTAAAGGCCGCAACAGTCGACCAAGACCCTTCGAATATCCCTACAAGAAGGAGAAGTGAACCCTGATCTACAACGAACCTTACCGACACAACCGCTACGACTACTACACCCACACTTTATCCCACACCACCTCTACAAAAGCTACTATTCCAACGCAACGCAGAACAACGGGTGCTACCCACCCTTCCGAAAGCCACCGTGTCCGCGCAACGCAACGCAAATATATATATATATATATATATATATATCCAGGAACGTCCCTTTTTTTTTTTCAAATAAAAAGGAGTAGAAAAAATAGATCGAATTCGAAGCGAAAATGGGTCTTCTAGACAAGTTGTTCAACTGGGTGCTTACCCGCGAACAACGCGAGCGGCACTCCCGCGCCGTGTGGGAAAAGACTGTGTGCAAGTCTTCATTCCCGGAGGTACCCGCAACACCATACAACACCCCGACAACCCCACGATCGGAGGCCATGACCCCATCACTATCCTCTTCCTCCACATCCTCCACATCATCGACCGCATCATCGGGCATCTGCTCACCCGTACGGTCCAGACCATCAACATCGTACTCCACATCGCCAAGGCCCGAGTACCGCCGCCACACATCTATAACCCGCAGCCCGATCTCCTACGATGCACTGATTGACACTAAGCCCCCCGCCCCGGCTCCATCCACCAAGCCCACTGCCACCACTACTTCACGATTGCTATACCCACTACCCCCGCTGGGCCCCATGGAAGGGATAGGCAAATACCGTCGCTCGATCCACGTAACGGAGCAATTCATCGACTCGTTACGCAGGGATAACATCGCCGCGCTGCAACCCCTCCCATCCTCCGCCTCCTCCTCGCCGACCCACCCCACATCGTACCTGACCGAAGACGAACCCCGTCAAGGACGAAGACTGTGGCGTGATTGCCCTGGTAACAGAACGACTACCACCCCCCCGAGAGCGTACTCCACCTCTCCCACGATCTTACCAGCTGAGGAGTCGCCAAAGCGACAGAGGAGCCTTCCCCCAAAATGGAAGGCAGCGGCGGAAATTGAAGTTGAGGAGGTGGTTATTGTCGAGCCGGTCAGGAAGAGCGGGAGGGGTGTGCAGGGAAGGAAGAAGGTTCCTGGAGGAAGGGGCAAGCAGAGGGTTGGTGGAGGAAAGAGACAGCCAGCCGGTCCATACCCACTGCCGAAGGCACCCAGAACCACTGGGCTTGGCCTCAAGAGAGTCCCACCAGGGAGGAATATGAGCGCTAGCATGGAAACCCTCCTCTCTGGCGAAGAATGAGGGATGCGAGTGATTGTTCGTGAAACGTTTAGCGTGTTCTTTTCTTTTCTGTCTTCATTTACTTGCCACTTTATTTCATTCCGTAGTATGTTTTTATTCATGCCTTTCATTTGTTTGGGAAACGGACGGATCAAGCTTAGCATGGGGTGGGTGGGAAATTTTTGGGCGTTTATTTTCGTTTTCGTTTTCATTTTTTGGGCGTTGCATTTCTTTTTATTTTTATTTGGCAAACGAACGGTGATGGCACTTCACGATCACGACATTTTGAACGAAAGACGAATGAACGAAACGGAACGAAACCAAAGATTAGTCTAATAACATGTATTTTCATTTTTTCTTCTAATTTCCCATTTTACGCTAATCTTTTTTTTGTCCCCTTTCTCTCTTTTCCCCCTGTAACAGTTGGTCGTGGTGGGCGAATTTTCTTTGGTTCGTCTTACCTACCATAACCATTTTATTATTATAATTGCTGTACCGTACATACACACGACCTAATATACACACAAGCAAGAGAAGAAGAAAAAAAGAAGTCACAAACGATCAAACAAAAACGAAAAACAAAATATCGTGACCCGCGCTTATAATATACACACTATGCACACTCTAATAACTAAGCGCCGGCGCATAGGTTGTTGCCATCCTCCCACCCCACCCACCCCACCCCATTCCTCCCTCCATCCATCCCATCCCTCCCTCCCGTTCCCATCCCTCCCTCCCGTCCCCTAAGCCCATTTTTATCTCCATCCACTTGCCATAACACGCCCCACAATCCAGACGGAGTCAAAAAAAAAACCGACAAGTCAGGCGAAGCCCACTACCAGTACTCGTACTCCTCCCCACCGTAGTGTCATATGAAGGGAAAAAAGTAAAAGGCAAAAACGCAACCAGAAGAACAGGATACTATAACAACAAACGGATAGTACAAACAGGCGAACGAACAAACAGACAAACAAGCAAGCAAACAAACAAGCAAGAGAGCAAACCCCAGCCCTATCCGTCCGTAATGGGTAGGCTTCAGTACGGGCGGCGGCGGCGGCGGCGGCACTGGTGGCGGGTTTTATGAGGCGAGGAAGCGCTGTACCTGGTACTGTACTGTACGGGCACCGTGATGATACTGTTGCGTTTATTACTTGATTGGGGGAGGCGCGGCGGCGTGGGTTATGCGGCTAGGTATTATATTTGATACGGGATGGAATGGAAGGGGAAGGGATGGGATGGTGGTGGCGTGGGTTCGCCCCACCGTATTGTATGATATTGTCTCGTAGCGTAGAGTACGAGTATGATACAATTTCGAGTGCTGTTCCGTGCCGTACTGTACTGTACTGTACTGTACTCGTACTGTTACTACTGTACCAACTCCAGGAAAGTTATTCGTCGTGGTGGGGAAATGTTGATTTGTTTTTGTTTTTCGTTCGCGCGCTACTGACTGGCATGATACTATAGTTGAGTGTATTCATTATTATTACTGCACGATATTGTTTATGTTGTTGTTGGGATGTTGTGTGCAGCGGCACTTGTATACCAATATTTTGGCAAATCCCACCCCTCCCAAAAAAAAAAAAAAAGAAAACTCCTATCATACAATATCATATCATATCATAATTTGGAATTTTGGTCTGGGGGAGAAGGAGGGGGGGAACTTTGTGATAAGCTATGATACAAGTATCTCACACCTTTTTTTCTTAACGACGACTTTTTAGATGGAGGGTTAGGGTTCTTTCGATCGTTTTTTCAGTTACGTTTATCACGGTATCATATTTGGGGAGGGGGAAGTTGGATTTGTTTCCGGGATATTTTGGTGGTCGGAGCTTTTGGTGGGGGAGTTTATCATACCGGTACTTGTATATTACCCATGATTCCTACCTATTCTCGTAATAGCGGTATAGTACCGGTATTGGGGGGGTTTTTTTTTTTTCCTTTCCTTTCCTTTCCTTTCCAACGTGTGATATGTATAATAAATGATGTTTTATAATAATAATAATATTATAAGGTGTGTGATGCACTTTGCGATGCTTCTTGTGGAACGAACCTCTCTCTGGTCCATATGTAAAGTACGGTAACTTATCGGTACTCGTACTGTACTCCCCACGAGGATGACAAATGTCACGATTTCTTTGTCGACCTCTTTTTTTTTTCCTCCGAGTTGTGAATCAAGTCCTAAAGCTATGAACCGTACTATCACATTTCCATCACGAGCGCCAAACCACTCATGATTTTTACGCCAAGATCATAAACGGCCTTCCATCATCGTATTGTGCGAGTGCGAGTTACAGTGCCTATTTGCCGTACCATGCCCGACCCCCTATAGGGTTTAATGACGTTACAATAGCACCAAAATTCAAATAGTAACAAGAGCAGGAAAAAAAAAAAAAACAAAAAAAAACCCTCACCACTATCATTGCACACACACAAAAAAAGGGAGAACATCATAAACTTCAAACACCCCCCC